GGTTCTCAGACTGTGACCTACAAAGGGTGATACCTTTTCCTTTACAAGCAATCCAAAACTTGTCTTCAACAGTTAGCATATTTGGCACCATCTACTCACAACTGTTTGAACTAAAGCAACTGGATTTCTTCAGAAAGCATTATGTAAACAACTGCATAATTTTCTATTTAAAATAGCACGTCTGTAGTTTCACTCAGTTCTCAAAAGTTAGAAATTGAAGGCATTTACAAGCTTCTGTACTATAAGGAGAGTTTTATTACTTGACTCTTGGCAGATGTAGCAATGGGAACAAAGGTCTTTGTGTTTATTCAGCTGCAAGGCTTTGAAGTGAGTATGGCCTCTACTTCTTAGACTTTTGAAGAACACTTAGTATACCAACATTAGCATGGTGAAAGCAAGCAGACCAATTCTTCTCCATTGCTTGCCCTTGCCAATTTTAATACTGAAGACTGTTAGGTCCTTTTTTTTAATTTTAGTTAGAGTGATTAATTGAAAAGTTGTGATTTTACTTTCTACAAAACCTGTCGCCCAGTAGAAGTCATGCAGTTATAAATCTCACACTATGAAAGTAAGAAAAACTGGATTTCTATGAAGCAATATATATGAAGACACCTTCTACTGTCTTATGCTTTTACAACCAAGTTGCTCAATTCTAATATGATATTAGAAGTTCTAACCTCAAGGTACTCCTTTACCTCACCCTGCTCTATATTCCCCATGATTATTCACATATTTTTTTACCATCCTAACATAATACTGCTAGAGCTCCTTCCCACACCACCTGTATCTTTCATTAAGCTATGATTTAGTCAAGAGGCAGCACCAATGCCAAAGGAACACAGGCACCAGGCAGCCAAGTGGCACAGGCAGAGCAACTGAGCAAACAGCCAAGTAATCAGAGGCATCCTGGCCAGCCAGCTCCTGCCTCCTCACTGCTGGGAAAGCCAAAAGCCATGAGCTGCTTCTTAAACCACACCTCTGACTGTCTCTTGGCTGCTGTTGCTACACCAAGAAGAAAAAGAACAGCTTCAAGGACAGCATGCAGTCTGTGAGCCATGTGTTGCACAGGCTTGCTGTGTTAATAGATGGAGAGATCAGAAAATTTATGCTTTTGATAAGCTGGAAACCAATACTGGTAGTATTTGAAAGCACATGCAGGTTCAGGGAAGAAACAACACATGAAACAACTGCATTGTGGGAAAATTTGAACCAATGAGGAGATTACTCATCACTAGGAAACTTGCTAGTAAAAGGGGAAGATGCCAACAAAGGGTAATGAAAGGCTGGCTAACACCACAGACCTTTGAGGCAGAAGGAATTGAAGGATGAGGCAAAGAGGCAGAAGGGAAGAAAAAGGAAAAAACAGAGCCAAGGTCACTTCAAAATTTCTGCCTCTTCCAAACTGTACCATGGATTTTCACCTTTTTCTGCTGCAAACAGAGCATTGCCATTGCTCCTTCACTACTCATCTAACCCCAATGAGATGTTCTAGATCTTGTAAAATGGTCTTCATCAAATACAAATGATATCTCAGAGTGAGAAATACACATCCTGCAGAAATGTGAACCACTAGTTACCTACATTACTTATGATCAAAGAAGCACATCTCCTCCCCATTCATCACAATACAATCCACTTTTACACTCCATCCTTTTGCTGATTACTTAACACAGTAATGCAGACTATGCACTGCACACAAAAACTTGATGGCTGCAAAATCTGAATATAGCTTTGCCTGGGACAATCTGGCTCCATTACATGTATTATGATGTCCCCGATATACACAGACTCTTTTCAACAAACCTCAGTTTTATTTGCTGCACATGACAAATGCATTCTGGAGATTCACTATACACAGGAAGACTCTCATACTGAATCCCTGCCAATTATGTTGGAAAGTAGTGACTAAAGCATAGACTGCAGAAAGATTACCTCGTGGTAAAGGAAAATGAGCATTACGCAGAAGAGAGCAAATCACTGTCTTTGCTAGATTGAGGACAATTAAGCCGTCTGAATCAAGCTTTCTATAGGTGGTTACTAACTCATTAATTTTAAAAAACTGAGTTCTGTAATTTGCCAGCACTGTTTTGAGGGGGCACACAAGGTGAGGGGGCATTTGTTTAACTGCCATCCTTTTTACTTCCCATGCTGCTAAAAAAATGCAGGCTACTTTCCTCTTTAATAAGGAAAGCATTCCACAAAGTTGGATGCAATAATAACAATCTGTACAGAAAAGCACACTGACAGCAAACAGGCTTCATGAGAAGGATGTGAACAGCACACAGGAGTAGGGCATGAAACTGTCAAACGAGCACCTAGACCATCAAACAGATGCTCATTATGCATACATCACACATCTTGTGTCCTGAGTAAGTCCCACTTATAATTTTCCCACTGAAAAAATTATACAATGTTACAAGGAATACAACTCAATATGTAACCTCCAGGCAGCACTGGCAACTGAAGCTTAACATTTCTTAACATCTAACTGTATCTTACCAGTAGCAGTGCATTTATTTGCATGTTTGTGCAATTTCCTAGTTTTAAAAAACAAGTTTAAAAAGTTTCTTCATATTCCATCACTGATGCATTCACTTGTGAACTGCAAGATCCACCAGAGATGACTAAGTAACTCATGGATGGAACTGAGGCTTTCATCTGCAAAAGCAAAACTGAGCGGCTAACGAGCTGTTTTACAGAAGACTTCAGATGTTTCATCAATGGCAGAACACTCAATTTTCAGAATCTTTAGTTTGATTCAAGGACCTAGAGAAAAACAGGCATATGGATTTGTTCTCTTCACCCTACCTTACCCCAACTTTGCATTAAGCCAACTTGTTTCTTTGTCCCAGTTTGCATCTATTCCACTTGTGCAATTCCAGTCCCCATCTGTGAGTGTCCCACTAATGTCTCCTCTTGGCTTCAGTCCCTTTGCTCAGCCTTTCCTAGTTCTTTATTCACTTATCTTCAGCTCAGTCTCTCTAAGCCCATGATTTAAGTCTCTTCTCCCTTATACATCCCTCTTGCTCCAATTAACAGAGATGCAGCTCTGTTTTTCATTAAATACAGACCCAGTTCCATGTTACTCCAATCTTAAGTGAAAGAAAAGGAAAACGGAGAAACAAAGCATATCAGCATTCCTACTCAGAGTTCAGGCAAGGCCTAGACTAGGCCAGAGCTGTATCTACAAGAATGTACTCAAGCTGGAACATGCCAATGCAGACTACATCCTCAGGAAATTATCTATCATCTAGAAAGTCTCCATTGGGTCTATATAAACCAGTTTTGCAAAGGTTTAATCAAGTGACAAAATCTGGGAAAATTTTCAGAGAGAGAGCGCAAAAGGTATATCCTTGACATCACCATCAATCTATCAGATTTAAAAGTCCATTCCAAATGATAAAGGATTAGCATTATTTAAAATAAAAGTCACTAAGATTTTTCCCTTGTCTTGCTCTCCAAAGGGCTGAATGGCATGGAAAACTGCATTCCAAGTGACTAAACTTTGTCAGTGTGGACTTAATTTAGAAGCTGAAACATGATCAAAACAGTGTTATCAGCTTTACCTATTACATGATTGAAAGGGAAAAAAAAAAAATCAATGTAAAAATGTTTTTCAACTGTAGTTTAATGCCTGTAAGCACTTACTCAACTCTAATTAATTCCTTCTTCAGAAGTAATTTTCCTTAGCCTCCAATGGCTAAGAGGCACACACATTTATTTTTCTCAAAGAGAAACACGAGGTCTTGACTGTAGTTCACAGGCATTGGTGAAGTATTTAAAAATCCTATAAGCATTTATGTTAGATGCATGCCTTATTGTCTTTCCACAAGAAAGAGTTATAAGTAAAAACATGTTTAGAAAGACACCAGTGTTGCTGCAGAGCACAGTTTAAGGACAGAAAACAGGACAACTTCGCACTAAAAGAATAAAAATATATTATCACAGTGATAACAAAATCTGTAACTGCCAGCTCCAACAATACACGGCAGGATCAGAGTTAATTTCTTTCTTTTTAAATCATGCATCACTGTCAGCAATAAAAATTTCCACAGTTTTGCAATTCTGTTGAATGAGAAAATCCAGCCTTCTTGAAAACATGCAGTAACAAAAGAAAAAAGTGAACACACCTAATCATTTCCCACCTTTTGCTTGGTTATTTTTCAATCCATAATACAGCCACAACTGAGATCAAAGTAAGCTCACAAGGAGAGTTTCCTTGATATAAAAGAAGAGAGTTGCTGTCAGGACTCAGTGCGAACTGTTTGACTTGTGCTCTCTTTTATTTACCAGAAACTGGTTTGTTAAACCTTTGAGTACAGGGAGAGACCATAATTTTGTCAGCTTTTAAAAAGCATTACAGTTTGAGGCAGTTATTACAGTACTTCATGTAGATAGATTCAATAGATACTCATTTAGGTTTTAAATATTACAGTATTTGCTGTAAATTTTGCATAATACTACCTACACAATAAATTCCACCTCATGGGAATTCCTATGCCAACATCTACTGAACATTATAAATACAATAAAACATTTCAGAAGACTTAAATGTGAATTCAACACCACTGATTGCCACCATAAACTGAGTCTACAAATCCTAATTTTTTTTGGCCTAATAATTTATAGATTTGACAGTTCATATTTTGCTTCAGTGACTTTTCATCTTTGAAACATTTTGAAATCTATTTTCATATATGTAGTAAAAGACTATGAAAACAAGCTGTGGGTCTAAATAGAAATCTATGAGCACAGAGTTAAGATACGTGGCAAAGTCCAACGCAACAGCTCAGGTAAGTGCCAATAAAAACCAGACTAATTTTAAAGCAATGATATGGTTCTATTTCCATTTGCAAGATTAAAGTAAGTACATACTCTGTATACCCTAGAAGATAACACATCCCAGAAGGCTACGTTTTTCCTGCCTCTTGAATAGTTTCCCCCTCTTGGTGTAATGCCAGCCAGAATTAATGAAACACTATACAAGTCACTGCTATTACCTGCATCATGGGATACTTTGTTTCAGCGGGATTTCCAAATCCATTAACGCCAATGAAGCTGGTGCTAAAGTAGGAATCTGTGAGACTAGCATCAGCTAACCCACCGCCATCTATTCCAGGAACTAAAAGAAAAAAAGAAAAATGTTTCAGGAAAAAAAAAATAAGTTTATCATGGGTTTATTTGCTAATATCTCTTGACTTGTTGTTTTGGATTTTGTTGGGTTTTTGGTTGTTTGGGTTTTTTCTTGGCCAGGGAGTAGAATAGGAAAAGGTTGGTAATACTGTATTTCAAACCTAACTTCTCAGTAAAACAGCCAAAAACATGAGTGTACAGAATGAAAATGAAGCTTTGATAGAGCCTATGAGGAGTCTGAACTTTAGAAACAAGATTAATAAGTAATATCAGAAAGAAAATAAATCAACTAAAACAAACCTACAAGGCAAGCTTATTTTAAGAAAACCTATATTCCTGCATACAGATCTTGGAAATGTATCTGTCGAGTAGGGTTTTGAACTGGATGCACTGTTTCTTATAAGGGTTAAAATATAGAAAACACACATTTTAAAATAATATCTCAAAAAATCGTTCACACAAAGCACAAACATTTTGAAAGCTTAAGAACATAAGACTATTTTTAAGAACTTGTGCTTCCTAAATTGACAACACTTACAAAATGTGACCAAAAAAACATCTTTTAGACTGAAGGCAAGTGTGAAGGATGTAAGACAAAATTAATCCTGTCTAGAAACAAGGGCCTTGACATACAAGCACAGCACTTGAATCACAAATAAATTAATTCAATACTAAGACCTCAGAGAACAACAAGAAGTGGTCATAAATTAACAAATAACATTCAAGCAGATATTACCTCAATAATGAAAAAGTTTAAAATTGTATACAAGCTGCAGTTCAAAAAAAAGATTTGGCAAAAACACCCACAACTAATTATAAAGACATTCATCAGTATGTCCAGGCCACTGCAAGCCAACAGGCATGAGTAATTGGTAGCTCCAAGGTAGGAAGGCACACATCCAACTCAGAAGAACATCCTGTACCAAACTATCCAACTTGAACTTCTGGGAGGACTCGCAGCCAATCAGTGACACCCGGAAACAACTTCCTGGTTCTAATCCTCAAAGGAAATAAAATGCAACTTTGTGGCAGAGCTAAAAGAACACAGATTATAACCCCTCAAACTTCATCAGAATGGAAATTTTTCCCTCCAAAAGAGACTACATAACCTGTTGAGCCATTTCCATGCTGAAACCACAGGGAACAGCAAAAGAAGTACAGCCAGATGAAATCATAGGAAGAGCTGGAAGAGAAGAATGACCAGCAGCACCCATATACTGCAGACAGATGGAAACACTGCCCAGCTGCACTCCCTGAGTATGAACTGGCCAACCAGGGGTAGCAACAACAACAGCACCTTCAGTGAAGAGCTGTATGTGGAGAAAGATGAAATAAACCCAGTACTTCAGCAGCAATACAAATCAGCTTTGCAAGCAAAAAAGATTCATAAAGTATTGCTGCTAAATCTAGAATATTATTTGTATACTCTGCAGGTTTGAGGGAGACACCTAAGGACACAAATTGCAACATTAGCTAGCTTTTAAAATACAAAAAAAAAAAAAAAGAGAATAGGAATTGCAAGCAAAAAAGATTCATAAAGTATTGCTGCTAAATCTAGAATATTATTTGTATACTCTGCAGGTTTGAGGGAGACACCTAAGGACACAAATTGCAACATTAGCTAGCTTTTAAAATACAAAAAAAAAAAAAAGAGAATAGGAAAACAAAACTCCCTCCACTATCCATGCCCTAGATCTCCCCTCATAAGGAGCAGCCACAAAGAAATTTGACAAGTCCTCTTGCTACATCCCTAAAAAAATATAATGCTCATTTACTTTTGTCTTTTAAACATCTGTTCCTCTTTTGCCTTCATTTGGAAAATTTACATTCAAAAGCCTACGAAAAGTATTTTATGGCTAAACTATTGTATAAGGTAAAAATACTAATGTCTGCAGTAACATCAGTTACTGTCTCATGCTATCTGCTACAGTGAGTCTCTAACTCACACTGTGAAGGATTAGCATTTCCACACAATCATTTTCTGGCATCACTAAAAATACTAGCACTTGTTCATACAAGAAAACAAGATAACAAAATTATTAGTAGTAGTTTCAGTTTTGTTTGCTCATAAATTATTCAAGATTCACAGGTTTTTATTTATTTGAAAAAAATGCATTTCCAACATAGCTTCCTAAGCCTGCATTTCAGTCATCATCAAAAACTGCTGCAGTTTTGCAGCAATCTTGACTGTAGAAGATCAAGAATAACTGTTTAATTCCCAGACACAACTGTCATTCCAAGGTACACTATATAATTTCAGCAGTATATCTACTAATTAATCTTTTACTTCTGTCAGAAACTCCAGATTCTATCAATTTTTTAAACAAACTAGCAAGCAACTCCTTCAGATTACACTATCAGCTTTACAAATTCTTCTGACTCTGCTGAAGGACTCAGAAACAATTCTCTCTGCTTCTCCCACTGCTCATCACTGTGCCAGAGTCAATGTGAGAACCACATATTTTCATTTCTCTGTCAGACACATACAGTTAATACATAAAACCCTTAAAGCTGTAAAGAGGCAAGTGAAAGCTTCCAAGTTTTGCAACATTTAGCAGCAAGGCATGTGAAGAGCCCCCGCAGTGTAAAGAAACCCCAGAGCTGATCTCCAATAACTCCAGACAGCTGGTACAGCTGCACTCACCCATTATCCAAAGCAAACACTGGAGCTGGTGCAGGTAGCCTTGCTAGGACACTAATACAGCACTGGGTGCTCTCCTCCTAGTCTAGCTGAAGCACCTTCAGCACCAAGAAGTTCACACTGAAAGGAGGAGCAGCCTGCAGGCAGCAACCTCAGAGCTGAACAAGGCCAAGGACACTGAAAAAGTTGAGGTCTTTGACACTGCTGCCTTTCTACGCTGGTACTTGCTATGGAAGCCTATCCAAACCACTTAAGGTGGTCAAAGCCACAATTCAGGCTTTCTACTCGCACACCATTATTTAACTGTGCATTCCAGATAGCAAAAGCTACTATAGAACATTCCCCCTTATCTAGCTGTATGAAGGCCATCTCTGAAGTGCAATGGTTTGGCCATACTGATCAGCCACCTTGTGCTGTTGATACAAATTGCTGTACATCAGTGCTGAGCCAACTTCATATCACTAAATTCCACTGGTAGCATAACAATTTCAAGATGCCTTGCAACTATGAGGCTTTCTGTTGTCCTCTTTCAGTCTAGAAACACACCTCAAGCAGAGCAGTCAAGACCACAAGAAAACCAATTTCACAGGAAGCATCAAAAGAAAACCATCAGAAGGAAGCTCAGTGGAAAAGAGGGCAGTTTTCTTGGTAGTAGCTCATAACACAATGCTTTAGAAGTGGTAAGTATAACTATTACCTTCCAAAGAAAACTTAACACCAGCTTCCTTAAACTAACTTCTTTAGAGTAACAAGCAAGAAAATTAAGACTAACAGAAAAGATGCAGCTTACATAGGTACAAAGAGAAAGAGGAAGTCCTGTATTGCCTATGAAATTAAAAAAAAAAAAAGAGTATTCAATTTCTGTTGAAAGACAGGACATTCAGCTGCTACAGTGACAAAAGCTCAGTAACTACCTAAACAGCAAAGGCAGTTTTAGTGTATTTGGCACCTGGCCTTCTTCATGAGAAGTAGAAGGCCTTATCTTTCTTCTGCCAAGCATTTGGCAAATCATAAATTCTCACTTGCTTCTGGAAGACCACAGTAGTTCAGAGCATGAAAAAGAAAAGTAATTTATCACAAGCAATCCATAGGAGAAAACCTTCAGAAGTAGGCACACTTCACCACCCAAGAAGTGTGGTTTAAAAAAATGTTTGTATGCTTCTTAATTTATATCAGACTCTGCATTTGACTGGTCTGCCCAGGTCTTTCCTACAGAATGACTGTGAGCACACATTTACTAGCACTCTACACCTAGTGCTATTAGAATGACAAATAGAAAACTTCTGCAGTTTCTACCTTTTCTCTTTTGAAGCACTGATTATAATTTTAGGCAAATAAGTTTAGACAACAATTTTAGTAAAGTCTTGAATTGGCTATTTTTGTCAAAGAAGCATGCCTTTCTGTTTTGTAACTGTTTTATTCATACATTGATGTTCCCATTTTCAATAGACTCTTCCTTGGAAAAGGAGAAAGGAAAGGTTTACTAGGCAGGTCTAAGAAGAAAAGATGTCTGTGCGAGGAAACAACCAGAAAGCCAGTGGGAAAAAAAATGCTAATGTGTTACATAAGCACATATGTAATCAATATTGAAGTCAGAAGTTACATCCTGGCAATTCTGGAAAGAAATTAAATAAAACATCTTGAGAAATTAACAAGACATTTCCTACTTTTCACACACACATTATTTAGTATTTTACTGCCTGGTGAGTAACACCATAGCTTAATGTGATAACTGCAATTAAAAATAAATATCTTCTTATATAATTCTTCTCCCACATAATTTTAGCAGAAAGCAGACTTCCCATCAGAAGGCACCAAAGAGAAAAAAACAGATAATTATTTCTCCCTTATTACAAAGACATTTTTCAGGAAACAAAGGATCTCATCACAGTACTACTGTGATGAACTCAACACTCATGCTTCAACAGAATCAGTGGGGTTTCGGCGGCCTCTTGGCTAAGACTATCACTATCTGAAAAGATGGTGTTTCCTCTGGTATTTACATCTTAACATTTTACTAACCAGTAAACAAATACTATAACATATCCTATACTGCTTGTTTTATGAACTTAGTATTAGCACTGATCCTCTCAGAAACTGTTCTTAATACAAAAAAGGATCTTTTGGAGTAATGAGATATTTTGCTCAAAAAATCAATGGGCTACAGATCACAACAGATTTTCTTGACATATTTTTCAAAAACACAATTTAAAGATTTCTGGTGAGGTAATAAAGATTTAAATAATTCGGTTTGCTATTGTCACCGCTTACAAAAAAATACCACTACAATTATTGTTATGCTGGGAAAAAGGTTTATATACAGAGGTAATATTGATTTAAAC